GGTGAACTTTCCGCCCCAAGGCGCCGAAGTTGCGTTATTCCAGACACCCTGCAAGTTGGGGGGCATGTCGATGGCTGCTGAGGTATCGCGCGACGAGGCAACGAGGAGATGGCGGCCGTAGTTCCATGCGAGAGTGATTAGCTGCGGGTCATTGAAGCCGCTTCGAGCAGACTTGACACGCTGGTCCGTGGATTGACTGGCGATGCCATTGGGGGAGGTGCCGAGGTTGATGTTGGCGCGGCCGAGAAGGGCGGAGGCGTCGGAGATGGCTGAATCGTGAACCGCCTGGAAGCCTTTGGACACGGCGCTGTTGAGCTTGTTGTCGACCTCGGCAGCGAGGGCACTAGCGGTAGGATAGCGGTAGTTTGTCTCGACATCGAGGAAGACATCAATGGTGGTTGCGCCGGTAATTGTGAGAGTACCGCCGGAGGAGCTGAAAGTAGCTAAACATTACGAGAATCAGTATTTGAAACAACCTCGTCTCATCCATACTATACAGAGAGGGTGGTGTTACCTCCGCTGGCTACGAAACGAGCCTTGCCGGTAAAGAGAATGGGATTGGTCGATTGTCCGCTGGTTCCTTGCAGGGTCACGCTGTTGACGCCGCCGGAAGTTGATGCGGCATTGCTGAGAATGTTGCTGATTCTCGAAAATGTGGCAGATACACTCAGAGCGCCAGCCTTGCTTGATGTAAATCTAGCTGCAATAACGCCGTCTGGGTTGCTAGCGACGTATTCACGACTGAACAAGCGGTGTGTCAGCAGCAGATACAGCAACCAATAGATTCATCTTGTCAAGTGCGGAATACTTACGTGTAAGTAACACCGTTGAACGTGTAAGACACGCTAGAGTTGCCCTGGCGCGTGTCAAGCGAGCGAATGTAATTTGATATACCGCTGCCATGGCCAAAGTTGAGGTTGAGGTTGCCAAAATAGCTAAACTGTCTCTCACAGCAGTTGGTTGGGTACATTGCGCTCTCGACGAGATTGCCAGCATCCGTCAAATTGTTAGCCATCAGCAGCGAACGGATCTTTGGCAGCGCAGCAAGTCCGCCCGCAGGGACACGGTCCTGCTGCGGACCATCCCAGATGGTGTCTTCGTTGATGGTGACGACTTCATTGCCGCCTCCGAAAATGGCCGCGCCGAGGCGACTGTTTCCAATGGGAAGGACGCCGGTCTCCCAGTCCGTGGCGGGAGATGTATACCATAGATATCGGCTTCCATCCAGGGCGGCCGAAGCATTGGAGGCCAGAAGCCCGACGAGGAGGGCTCGGAGGCTGAGCTTGCCCATTGTTGCGGTTGATGCCAGAGGCTTGTCTCTCTATCCAAGGCCATCGGAGAGACGGGGAGGTGAATGGACCTATATATACTGACGATGATGAGCTGTTGATGATTTACCCGTGCCTTCCATTCGGGGCCATGATCGTCGACCTCTGGGCTCTTCCCGGCGGGAAAATTGTTCGGTAGCAGGGTCGCATTGTCGATTAGTCGACGTTATTCCCAATTGGTACAGCTTTGCTGCGTGTCAGAGCTGTCATCGTCAGGGTAGAATCCCAAAGTATGCGATTCATGATGCTTCAAGCCTAGCTGAACACGATCCAGCCCGAGCCAGAGCGCTCCTTTCATTTCACAACGGGCCGTTTTTGCGGGGTGCAGAATGTAACATTGCAGATATTCCCTTGGCGATGAACAATCTTCAACGACGTATGGAAGAGCTAAAGAAGAAGCGAAAGCGACGGTTGAATCGCAAAAGGGGGATCAAAGCTGAGTTATAGTGATATCGAGGGTCTACCGACGGATAATTAAGCCGTTCTGTCCTTTGCGAATTGAGCACGATGAGTCGGTAGAGTCTCTTGGATGAACAAGTGGTGGAGTGAGACTAATTAATGCTCATCCTGTTTCCCCAGATTTCCCCGCAGTCACACGGCAGAGAGGCAACTCGATACTACTATACACGTGTGCTCCATAACAGACTATTATCAAAACCCCATAAAGCAATGGGAGCTAAAGAGCACCACTGGTGATGCAACTTTGGTCACACCAGCGGCCTTTATCCGCAACATTAGGCACATCCCGAGAAGCTGCACTGATTGGCCGGGGCTGCTTCTGGTGCCTTATTTTTGCCGTTGTAACTCATGGATCGGCACTTTTCTCCTATCCGTCGGTACAGCAGCGGGACAAGGGGAGTGACATGTATTATCATTGCGATTGGATCTTACAATAAGCATGCCTGTTGCTGCCATGAGCCATAATGGCTTGTTACGCTAAGGAGAATTTGGGTTTGGTTTATGCATGTGCATCGGCGAACCAAAGACTCCAGGTCTGTTGAGTCAATAAACCCGGCGGATAGGGAAAATAAAGACTTCAACTTTGAGGCAGCAGGTTGGAATAGATGATGGATTTCCAATGGTAAAAAAACTAGCTATAGAACTTTTGTATAAAAAAGTTTCATATGATTCTTTCATAATAGCCGAGCTGTAAATGCTTCCTGCGCCTATTTAATTATCATATATACCTAGGTACATATGTAAGTAGGAAGAAATAGTGACTCTCTTACATATATACCTGTGACAGTTTCCTCTGCAGACACTTACCCCAAACGTGCACATGATAAAATTTTTTACACTGAAAAATTATAGAGTGAAACGCTATGTATTTAAAAATTCAATGCGCATCATACATTGCGGCGACATGTACAGGGAACTGCCCCATTTGAGTGCATCATCGCGCTGATTTTGATAAGGCACAAGTATGAACGATGACGAGGTTACATTTTTTGTCGTCACGCTAGCCCTCCCTCCGAAGAATACAATGCATATATACAATGTACATATATAGTATGCCAACCAACAGAATTTCTGGAATGTTACTCTTTGTAGAGACACAACATGAACGCTTATATAATCTGGGCATATGCACCATCTGATTGGTGATGGAAGCACAAGGCATCCTCTTACGTCTGAAGGGATACTCTGCAACATGGATCTTCAGCTCGTCAATGTTTTGTTTCAATCTCAAACTCCCTTCGACTCCATCTTTCAGGTGCAAGGTCAGCTGATCGATCTCGGAGCGCTCCGTGACCCACCTGGAGATCGTCAATACCAGAGCTTACTCGGTCTGCCTGATTGTAAGTGAGATGATATGAGACACTCGCCCCCACTGCTCTTTCAGCTGGGTTTGAATATGACACATCAAACTAAAGAGTGTGATTGTCTACCGATCACAGTACGATTAAGTTCGCTTCTAAGCTTACTGAGCTTGCTGAGAAACAACCCAAAAATTGGATCGGCAGAAAACATATCACACAGCATGAGGCATAATCTGAGGGAATCTGACGAGGTTACGCTGATCCTCTGGCTCTCGTCGGTCAGTTTCTTCGTCCCTGCATTGGCTGCGGAGTAATAGGATCAATGCTGTGGCAATACGATCATTTAGCCTTGCCAATTGTTCCACAAGCCATCTCCTCTTTGTGAACGCCATTTTGAGTTCTCGCCAGGCAGCTGCGTGCACGCTTCTAATTTTGAAGTCGTAAAAAGAAATCATCCGATTCCACGGAGAAAATCTCGAAAACTCTGCTTTGTTGACCCGGTCTGACCTTTTGGAATTGTGGCAATTACTATTTCACCGGTCTCGTTCAAACGGAGATTCAAAGCTTCTCCATGGCGTTCCGGGCTTGCGGGCTAAGATGGTCGGCCCTTTTTGTCTCTGCCGTGGAGAAGCTCAGACGGGGAAAAGGCATTCCTCGATTACTTCTCTGATGAGACATTGCCACTTCAGATCCAGAAGTTGAAACTCAATTACTCCAGACTCGGCCAAAGCCGTCCGGAGCACAATGAAAATGCGACTCCGCCTCCACAAACGGGAATAAATGGCGCCCACTAGAAACGCGCCAATCATCCGCATAGCCATCTGTCAGAAAAAGCCATCCTGCAGGATCCGGAAAGTATGGACTGAGACTCCCGGCCGACAGACCGGAAAGGACAAAGCTGGGTAACGTCCGATGACCCGCACATTGTCAATATCCGTTACGCTTTGGTTACACCGTATTTTGGACGTACATCACAAGACCAGCTGGACATCGTAGGGCTGAGGACCTCTTGGGCTGCTTTGACAGCCAGAAACTAAATCCATTTGGTGATTCTTTCTTCTCATTGGTGCCTAGTGGCGGGCAGCTAATGCTGCTTTTTTTAGGCCTCCAGCCAAAGGGATGTGACCGTGGCGTTCAGCCGCACCATTGACCTGCTTTAGCTGAACGAATCCCGAGGCGCGGGACAGTTGGCATTTCAATGGGGAGAGAAATGATGGCGCTGGCGGAGCCCCAGGCTATGTGTGGATTGAGCCGAGAACGTTTTTGCGCTGGCTCGTCGTCTGCATGTGTCGGATGTCGCTCACTCACCGTGGAGAAGGCCGTTATTCTCACTGTCTGTCGATCTCTCGTATTCGCAGCTTGGCTCACCTGGAATGCTTGTCCTCCTCCATCATCCAAGTGCTGATGGTACAGTGTGCAAGTTTAAAATCATCAGATATGGGAATATGGCATTGGCCGGTAGTCCGGATTAGCCTGGACAGGTGGCACGGCCTGACTGAGACAACTGAAGCTATTTCATGTACGTCGGATGTAGTGAGTAATGAGCGGTAGCTGTAAGTGGTCAAAAGTAAGCGTCACTTCGTATTCAAGCATGAGGCTTTTCGTATAGCGTCGAGGATACGAAGGGATCAAGCAGCCACCTACGTCCCCTTGCCTGAGACACACATGATGTCTCTTAGGCATCGAATCCTAAGGCTTCACCGATATTCTTTCCCTTCACGATCCTCAATGGGCAGATCTGTGTGAGATTTGGGGTATATAAAGACATCTGTCTCTGCCCCGGATCCTGACTTTTTCTCCAGCATCACCCCAGCAAGCATTCGCCTCTCGTTCAGATCTCAAGACAAAAAGCACTCAAACCAATCACTCAAACTTCTTCAAGACCACCCTTCAAAACAAACAAACCTTCAACATGAAGTTCACCGCCGTTGCCTTTGCCGCCCTCGCTACTCTGGCTACTGCCAGCCCTCACCCTCCTCCTCATCACGGCTGCAAGCCTGCTACCTACTCTTGCCTTCCCAACGACAGCGGTTGGCAAGTGTGCAGCACTGCTGGTCAGTGGGTGGTAAGTATTCACTCCAGCATCGTCAAATCGAGCAACAAAAGTCTTATTAACATCCTTTGATAGTTTGCTGGCACCTGCCCTCCCAAGACTGTCTGCAAGTTCGACAACCAGAATGGCAGCCCCTATTGCGTTCCCCCCAACTTCACTATCCCATAAATACATCAAATCGGGATCAACGGGGCTACTTACAAAAGCCTACCGGATAAGCATGAGATTTAGAGTTTTTGAATGCTAAGACGTTTCGTGGCCTGTCATTGTCTTGCAGATCAATCCTGGACATAAAGTTTTACACAAATATTACACAAATATGGGACACTCCTTTGAATGCGATGTATCTCTATAGCTATATGAATACAATAAATTGAAGTAAATCAACTGCCCTAGGCATCGTTACCTGTGAAAAACCCGTCTTTATATCCTAGTCTTAACCGCAAGCCCTTGCATCTGCAAACTACCTTAGTTTCAAAATTCTTGAGCTAGCTGTTTAAATTGCTTACACCATTCTACCATTGGTTTAGCAAGTCGAGCTATACGGAGCTGTTGAGTAGGGTTCTAGGGGTCCAGGAAGTATACTGGAGTAAGCACTGTGCTAAGCTTCCAATTGCTCTCTAAGTGAATCAATATAGTTTATCGTAGCTACGTCATAACCAAAGGGATGATCTGACACAGAGCAGCCACGAGAATAGAGCTTTGCATGATGATAGGTGCGTATTACCAAATTGATGCACTTGATAAACATACGTAGAAACGGGAGTGTCGGGTGTTTTGAGGTTTGGTCATCGAAACGAATGCTTCAGCCAAAAGAATATGGAACGACGTCTTGAGCATTGTAGGCAATTGTGTAATGCTCGAAGTATTTCTCCATCGTCGTTTATCTCGGCTATTTAGCCGTCAGTGATGACATGTTCTATGAGGGAAATCAGCTTATATCACCAATGAAATAAAATTTTGTACATAATTGGCTCGCGCTCTTGCCAATAGAATTTCTCCTTTGTGCATTACTATACATTCATCTCGGTACATGTATCCACAAATTACCTAGGTATGTGAGCAATGTACCAACGAAAAAGCACACATTCCCACGTAATTTGAAACCTTTCCGGTTCATATATCAAATTATAGTTCGCAATTACAGCATACGTCGTTCTACCGAGGGGTTTATCATCGTAATTGTACGAGTGCTATTTTCATCCATTGGTAATACTATATGAACAAAAGTACACATCAAATTACCACAACCCCTAGAAATTAGCGGATTCACACGGTTACATCATACTAGGTAATTTTGCGTCTCTGCATGGTTGTGTCTCTCTGTATATGATTCAAGTTACATCGATATTGAAGAATATCAGCTATTATTCAGAGCTTTCCAATGATTTATAAAGCATTTGCGATGGGCTGACGTAGCAGATCCCCAGACTGCCTCACTTCCATTAAGGCTGTTTCCTAATGTAACATGACTACAAAAACAGAAAACAATAAAAGTGCTTGAAGAGGAGGAAGCAGAGGATAATTACTGAAAGAAGGTATCTCATACTGTGGCTGCTCTTCCTGATCTGTTCCTTAATTTGGCTGAAGCCAACAGACTACAATTTATTATTCATGTTGCCCACCGAGTACTTGCAATTAACATTTTATTTTGCGTTGGACTAGGGGAAGCTGACATATCTGCCAGGACAACATAACTACCTATGCAGTGTGGGTACTGCCCAGCCAAAATGTAGCCATGACCCACAACACGGTTGTATCGAGATGGATGTGTTATCAAAGCATTGTATGAAACACCGGAAGGGCTACCGGATTGGGAATTATATGATTCGCATCGAGTTATATATTAAGTTGGTTGGTTTAGTACAATTAGAGAATCTTGCTTCTTTCACTTATCGAAAACACCAGATATTCTGTATATTGACTTTTTCCCCCAAGCCCGCGCTTCACAAAACATGTCGTCTGCTACGCACCTAACAGACTCTCTTACTGTCCTTAGAACGGATGTGTTGATCGTCGGCGGTGGCCCTGTGGGCTTGTTTACCGCCTATCAACTAGGAATGCTGGGAATGAATACTATTCTTGTTGAAAGAAACCACTTCACGACCAAATTTCCCAAGATGGACCTCACTCACGAACGGACCATGGAGATATATAGAAAAGCTGGCCTTGCCTCCCTTTTGAGATCAAGCGGTGTGCCTGTGACACACGGTTTTAACGAAATCTATGCAACAGGTCTAGGCGGTGACGGCTACCACATGGCCCAGATTGTAAGTGAAACACTGGCCGATCTTCTGGAACGATAGAGAAAAGTCTGATGCGATGGACAGGAGGGCCTTTCTCCAAAACATAAAGAGAAAGAAGAAAACAAGTTAAACGATGGCTCAGTCCCACTTGAGTTGCCGTTGAGACTCTCTGGAATAGTGTACGAGCGCGTCCTGAAGTCTGCCGTCGAACGACTACCAAATGTCTACGTATACTGGGGCCACAAGTTTGAAGCACTCGAAGAGACCGAAGACTGTGTCTACTCTACTATTGTAGATCCCAGTGACAAACGAATCGTCATCAAATCTCGGTATGTTATTGGCTGTGACGGCGCGGGAAGTAGAATTCGAGGCGCAGTGGGCATTAAACACAAAAAGAAGGGATGTAAGTGCACGTCTAACAATAATACAGTTCCTTTCTTCTCATTTCCATGCAATGAACTTATAGAGAATTTTCACCACTAATGATATTTACAAAGGCCACTTAATATGCTATTGATTCACTTCATATCAAATGATGCCGCGAAGATATCGAAGCATGGCGAGTTTTGGCACCTATACATAGGAAACGGAGCCGTCGTCATAAACCAAGACGGCAAAAACACCTTTACAATGCAGATTCCTGTTACCCCCCGTAATAATTTTGAGGAAGGCGACAATGTTGAGGAGTTTATCAACAAGAAACTTGGGGGCTGGGGACAGCCTTCCGACATCAAAGTAGATGAAGTTTGTGTAATTAGTCGATGGGAAGCTGCTGTCGCTCTTGCGGACTCCTTTCGATCGGCAAATGGGAGAGTATTTCTTTGCGGAGACTCTGGTAGGTGAAAACTAGCATGAAGTATGTGATCCTGCTAACTCTTCGCAGCTCATCGTTTGACGCCCGCTGGGGGTCACGGTCTGAACTCGGGTATCAATAACGTCTTCAATCTGACCTGGAAGCTTGCTGCAAACGTACATGGTTGGGGAGGAGAAACCCTCTTGGAATCGTATAGCAAGGAGCGCAGATCTGCCGCGGAGCTAAACATAGACATGGTTCGGAAAGCGATGGCGGAAATTGTGATTCCCCGATTCGGCAGCATCGAACGAGACGAACAAGAGAAACTCGTTGCCGATTCAGAAGAAGGACGTGAGGCACGACGCTTAATGGCGGAAAAGTTCATGCTTGGAGACTGGCTTCACAAGCAGCTCGGCATCACACTGGGCCATCGGTATAGAGACACTCCGGTTATCATCAGTGACACGTCCTCTGCGGAACCTCGTCAGTCTGTTGCTGATTACATTCCGAGCACCTGGCCTGGAGCTCGAGCACCTCACGTCGTTCTTAATGATGGACAGACGAGCATTTTAGATCTTTGTGGACCGAGTTTCACTATTGTTGACTTTACAACATCGGGTGAACAGGCAGACGAGTTTTGTGCTGCTGCAGAGGAGTTGCAAGTTCCTCTAAAAAGGCTTCATCTTCCGGATGAAACTCATTGCAGAATGATATGGGAGCGAGATGTAGTTCTGGTGCGTCCTGATTTGTTTGTTGCTTGGAGGTCTTCCAGCTGTGGAGTGACTGAAGAGAAGGTCAAGGCCGAAGATATTCTCTTGAAAGTGGTTGGGAAAGCATAAGGCCTTCTGGTATTACATACATTGTCGTTCAAGTTCTTGGAAAAGTATACGACCTTCTGATTTTATATACACTGTCGTTCAAGTTATTGGAAATATCATTTTCACACCACTTACTTAATTATTGAACTTTTGCAAAAGTTGTCCCAAAATCATGGCCTGGTCTGAAATTCCAGCGTCCTCATCTTTCCAATCATTTAGCATGCCTATACAAGCTTCAACAGAGTGAGCCCAGTTGTCCGGTAAGAGGCTCTGTGTATGTTCCGAAAATGCAGCAGCTAGCAAGACAATCGCAGATCGAGCACAAGACTGCAATAGCATCCAAGTTCCGTGATGCCGGTACCAATGACCTAGCCCTGCCGTTCGAATACGATCGGCGCATGTTGTGAAACCTCGACAGGCATAACGAATCATATCTTCCGACAATCTTTCTTTGCTGTTGACTACCCTATCGATGAATGTCCAGAAAATGAGCTCATTGAAATCTACCAAATGACAACGAAGAATGAACTTGAGTATATCATCCTCAAGGGGATTTGAATCGATACTAATCGTCTCGGGTAATGAAGTAAGCCATGCCTCAGCCTGTTGGTCATACGAGTCGACCACTTCAATTAATCGCGCCTCAGTATCCTCGCCTTCCACCTCTGACGATGATAAAATCTGTCCGATGTCGTTACGGGCGCGAGTGTTTAATCGTCGGAGAGATATTTCAGCAAGGTAGAAGAACCACGCTCTGTCGTCTTTCTCGGGATTTGCTGGCGGGTTGGGGAAATGGCCGGGATAAACGCGGTCCTGTGTCTGGAAATCAAAGAGCCCAAGACATATGCGTAGCTCTACTTCGGATTTCCAACAGGACCAGTACAGGCGCTGCTCTGTGGGTGACGTCTCAGGAGGGCTGGTGAGTGTTTGTGGGTTCTGTGATGCTTCTATAGCGAAGTCAAACTCTTGACAGTATGCCAAGGCTTGTAAGAAATGTCTCCATGCTGACACCGGCTGGAACATTGACATTAGGTAAACGCCAGCGTAGAAGAAACATTGAGCTGATAGTATGCCGCTTTCCGCAAAGACTATTCCAAGCCTCTTGGTAGCCGCACCGTAGAGTGCTGCTCCAAGCTCGAGGTTCTCTCGGTCGCAAGGTTGTGGAGGCTGCTGAAAGGGCGTTGAAATAGCACCCAACGCCCAGACAAGGAGGACCAGGCAAGATTCGGGATCCCATCCAACGCCCTCGAGGCAGGCATGCTGGACCATACGCTTAAGACTAGACAGCTCTAGGATGGGATTCTTGATGTGGACATGTTGAATGAAGTTTGTAATCAGCGTATTACTGGCGCTGGTATTGCCCAGAAAAGACTCGAGTGCAGAGGAGGACGGTTGTATCGGTTTCGGAGGCTTTCGTCGGAGGACTGCGATGGCATTGGCTTGCAGGCCAAATTGGTTACCAAAAATCGGCCAGCCAAGGACTTCCGAAGAAACGATCTGGAGAGAGCGTGAAGGTTGCTGCCCAGCAGAGTCTTGTCGACGGGCCTCATTTTGCGTGTTAACAGGGTCATCTTGTCTCTGAAGGCTATCTGGTTTGTCTCGTGGTTGTGATTCCAACAAACTCTCGATCCGTTCCAACCTCTCCAAAATCTTTAGGCTCGCCGGATCAAAAGCTGAGTAGTCCGTGGGCTCAGTGACACATTTCGCTCCCGTCTTCTCACAGAAAGAGCAAGCTGGTTTCTTGTTGTCGCATTTGGTCCGCCTGGCACGGCAAACCTGGCAGGCGGTTACGGCTCGTTTGCGCGCGTATGCTCCGGTTCCTCTGGGAGCTGGTCGTTTTCTTGCTTGCGGCTGAGATGCCACAGTCATGAGATCTGGAGTGTGGAGCTCTTCCAGGTGGTCTTTTGACCCAAGCTGACCTTGAGTCGACGCAGCGCTCATGATGATTGGTCTCTTGGACGTCTTAACTATTATGAAGTTCCCTGAGACAGTGTTCCGACCGGCGCGGAATGTCGGCAAGAGTCATTAAACAGTTGATGCAGGAAAATCTGGGGTAGCAGGCAGACCGAATGACCCGTCCCGGCTAAATTGAAAGACAGGCCAGAGCCCCAGATTGTGGCGGTTAAATTGCTCCTGGTCTTGGCCTCGCCGAAACTTTATTTCTATTCGTCCTCTCTATGTTTTAAAGTGCATTGACATGTGGGTGGCTGCATTATCGGGTGTTTTGGCGTTTATTTACGCCCTGAGAATGTTCTGTGACTTGACAAGATCGAAGTTGTGCGAATTCTAGTCTGCATGTAGCTAGCACTCGGGATTTTTCACTACTGATGATGGCTATATGAACACCATCATGAAGCGTGGAGAGGCTAGCTATTGGTAATCTACTTGATGCACCTGATCTATTTCACTTGATAGCAAGGATATTTGTTGACTCGAGCTCTTGATCTCCGTTGGCATTGCCACTCAGCCACGTTCTAATGCGTAGAGGCTGGTAAGCTGGACGTCAACCCTCTCTAGCTTCTCCAATAGTTCCTGAGTTGGCGCCCTATATTCCACTGAACATCTCATGATATTATCAGCTGAATCAAGCAATATCGGCTCATCGCTCCGGTGTAGAAACGCCTCATTTCTGAACTGTAATGAGCTCCGCCATTGCCGTAAGCGGCGCGTTCTGTCAACAATTCGCTGTTTACCTGACCAAACCTGAACAGCACGTTGTAAACATCGTCAGGTAGTGTATACAATCCAAGAAAAATTCTTTGGCGGGGCTGTCGGAGAAAATGTTCCTTGTAGCAAAGAGAATGACTGAATAGGACATGTTGCTTACGAGGCCATTGTTCCAGAGAGGGATGCTCTCCTACGTATCCAAAGTAGGACGATAATAATGGGTGCAACATAAGCGGTTAGTGGAATGGTGGTGTCCTATGGGGACAAGTTGGAGCGAGAGGTGTCTGTAGCTGGAACAATGGCATTTCCTAGATAGCAGCTTTGCCGAAAGGTCATCAGGCTATATGTGAAATTCCTCGGCAGATCTTCAGTTGCTTCAGCCAGAGTTCGATTGCGCGAACTAACAAAGCGACCCATTTGACAAAGCAATTGAATACTGCGAAGTATACTTGAAATTCACATCTCCGGGTAGCTAACAAGTCCTGACTGTAGCAAGGGCGCTGTGGATGCAAGACCTGCCCCTGTCCCTGCCACGATGCTTCTGACAAAAGGGATCTGAATAAATCATGGTTTATCTACGATGTAATCGCCTTGCTGTAATCGCTATGTAGGCCGGTATAGCGACTCTCCTTCTACCGCCGTGAATGTAGATACGAGACTTACATGTTTTAAAGCTGGTCTCTAAAGCCCAAATGAGAATCATACTTCGGTTTTCCAAGGGGATTATCAAGCTCTGTACCAGAAGCCAGGAAAGAGTATGCGGTATTTTGACACAGTCAGCCTGCTTTGCGTATGAAAAACAGTTGCGACGGCCGTCTCGGTGGTCGGCAGCGAACCAATGTCTTGACCTATACGATAACTTTAGGGCTCATGAAATTCCTCACAGCTTAGAATCCCGACTGGCCTACCAATTTAATGAAATGATTTAAAGTAACCCTGTCGTGTTGCGAAGTTAATGTTCAATCTCAGTGAAAGTGCCGTGTTGGGGCCACGAGGAGCAGTTGAGAATACAGATGATGTAAGACTCCCACACAGAGCCTGTATAAGTCAAAGAGCCGAGTTTGAGCCTGAGGGAGATGTGCCAACAGCCACTGAGCATACTCTTCAACTTCGCGCTGAAAACTTAAGTCGATTGGTTGCAGTTTTCTTCTTTTTTAAGTTGTATCGTCCAATCGGTGGCAGAGCTCTTTGTGCAGCTCGTTAGACAAAGGGTCAGGTTTTACTCACAAAATTACGAATTGATGCTAAGCGCCCAAGTACGGCGTCAACAGCCGTTATCATCTAATGTATTGTACAATTTCGTGGTTTTCAGGTTTTCCTTTTTGGGGTAATAGGTAGAATAGAGAGCTGATGGAGGGGATTATGAGTTTGGGGATCGTAGCGGATCTCACAATGCAGACGGCTGGCTACAACACGGTAATACATTCACACCAGCCATACGAAGGCGAAATGAGTACAACCATAATGACAGAGTAATCATGTATTACTGCCATCCAGTGCATTCACAAAGCCCTCTGAGTCAACTGTTGCTTTTGTTCTCATCAACAGTATTGAAAGAAACTCTAAACTTTGGAGATCGATTCATGCTGACGGGACATCAAGCGGGGCGGCTGCACATTATAGGTAGATTAGAGGGCCCGTGTTACTATAACGACTGAATGGATCCATGCATCATGTAAGTAAGGCCCATCATCTGCCGCCTTGCGCTTGCCGTCGAATGCACCGCTCCGCACAGCATCCGGTTTCCTATTCCAGCCATGGCGATGGCCTCAGTCCGAGCAAACCCGCTCAACATCGAACCCCTCGGCATTCACACCGTTTTATTTCTTCTTCCTTCGAACTTCTCCGTTTCCGTCATTTCTCCCACGTGTCGCGATCCACCACAGCACTGCCATCGGGATTTCGGCCAGTCTAGCGACCTTCTGGGAAGCCAAAACGGCAATCCGGCAACGCATCCAGAATGTGGCGGCCACTCACGTCGGCCATTCCAGCACAAAGCGAGATCTAGGCTTGGAGGATGCTGACGGGAAGAAGCAAGTTTTAGGGCGCCCACCAATTCCATGACGTTTCACTGCCCCACCACTAGCCTTGAAGCAAAGGAGATCAAACAAAGGAACGATGCGATGATGCATCCGATACGTTGATGTATGGCAGAATCTTGCCGAGAGGGAGGGAGCACTGCAACTTGCATCTCTTGGCATCTCCCTCTTCTCATCGTGTGTAGCCTCTACACGAGAGCTTCATGATTCTTCTGTTTACAAAGTCACATACAAGTTTGGTTCTAATCATCATCCCCGCTTCGTCGCAATGGTTTCCGACCATGTCCTGAGGCTGTGTCGGGCTCACAACTCGGTCAGCTCCATCCTTGCCAAGAACCCGACAAAGGGCCCTGGAGTCATCGCAAAGGATCTATACGGCCATTACGAGAAAGATCTCCGTCGTTCCCCAGATGAAGACAGACCGCAACCGTCGCCCGAGATACTAGAATTAGCCCTTCAATGCGGCAACTGGGGCCCTACAGCTCCGAGCCCGTTGTTCCTCCAGGCATTCGCAGATTCTCTCCGATGTCTGGATGCGGATGCGCTTTCCAGCGTCGTGTCTCCTCCGCTGATGGGCTCTCATGGCACGATCCCGTTGACCATCATTGCGCCGCTCATAGACATCATTCGCCATGTTTCAAATGTCATCGCGCGGGCGGAGAAGGAGGTGTTTTTCATCACCTGCAACTGGTCGCCCTCCGTTGCTCAGAGACTCGTCAAGAATGCGCTTATCGAGCTGTCCAGGCGAGCCGGAGAGAGGAATCAAAGGGTCGTGGTCAAATTAATGTACGACAAGGCAACGGCCGCCAGTGCGATCGATCCGCATCAACGCGTCAAGCCAGAGACTTATACGTCCAAGGCCATCCAGCTACCTACTCCCGAAGAGATCCCTAATCTTGACATGGAAGTTGTCAGCTTGCACAAATTGGTTCTTGGCACTCTTCATGCCAAGTTTTGTGTGGTTGATCGCAAAATAGCGGTAGTCATGAGCAACAATATGGAGGACAATGCCAACATGGAAATGGCGACGCACCTAGAAGGGCCAATTGTTGATAGCATCTATGACACAGCGCTCATCACATGGAAACATCCTTTGGACCCAATTCTTCCTTCACATAACTCTCCAGCATCGCAGGGGGGACTACCAACGTCCAGCGATGAGCCTCTATATCTCGATCGGGGAACAGGTCCAGATCAGGAACATATCGCAGCAATCGGACAAGCAAACCCAAGTCTTCCAGAGCATACGCCGGAAGATCCACACTATGATGTCGACATGGCTGGAGAAATTGCACGCATGCAGTCGTGTTACTCTACGAAGCCAGATGAAACGAGACTTCAGGCTGCAAACCGCCAACTGAATCTTGCAGTCAAGGACCATATTGCGCCGACGGGCCCCGATATCCCCGATGGACATGAAATGACGCCTTATATAAATACATCTACCCCTTATCCAGTTCCGATAGCCATGGTATCGCGCCCTCCGTATGGAAATGTCGATTCTAAAAATGTCTTTGTGCCCCAAAACGAAGCTTGGCTGTCTTTAATTCGCAACGCTAAAAGCAACATCTTCATTCAAACTCCAGATCTTAACGCTGCACCACTCATTCCGGCCTTGGTTGAGGCCCTGAAACGTGGGGTTGAAGTCACATACTACGTGTGCTTTGGGTACAATGATGCCGGAGAAATCATCCCAGGACAAGGCGGGACAAATGAACAAGCTGCACGCAGCCTACTCTCTTACCTTCCAAAAGGCGGACTAGAGCGTGAGCTTTTGCACATATACGATTATGTTGGAAAAGACCAGGACCACCCAATTCACCAATGCTTCCGAACCCGCTGCTGTCACGTTAAACTCCTCATCGTAGATGGCACTGTTGGAGTACAAGGAAGTGGGAACCAAGATACCCAATCTTGGTTCCACAGCCAAGAGATTAATGTCATGGTAGATAGCCCCGAAATATGTAGCAAATGGAGAGACGGAATCGAGAGAAACCAAAACACGAAGCTATTTGGAAGAGTATCTGACGATGGGGTTTGGAGAGATAAGAATGGACAGCCTGGAGAGGGATATATGGGAGATCCTAACTCAGTAGAGGGATTGATCAAGGGTGTGTGGGGGATGTATAAAAAGATGGAGCGCGCTTAGGCTTCTCGAGGTGCAAACCGCGTATAATCAGTTTTAGAATTGCACATACAAGAGCGGGTATTATGGTGTAATAATTGTTGGTATTTATATTCTAGCTATACCATCTGTCTTGTCCTAGGACTCTATTTCATCTCCCCCGACCATCTTTTCATTTATTAGTCTTTGTGAGAGTTTTGCAGTATCTCCACCAACTCATGTCTAACAACCATATTCTCCAATTTGAACGATCCAGCCAGGTCATCTAGCTCTTCAAACGACAAATCCTTGAAGTACTCTGCAAACTCGTGCGTCAAGTATTGAGACAGCAGCACATCTCTCAGCACTCGGTCGATGTAGTCGCCTACATCCCAAGTCTTGGGGTACACAGCTCGCTGAAGATGTTCCGGGATGACAGCCTTGAAGTGATCCTTGACGGGCTTGTAAACGCTATTCTCAACGGCAATGTTCTCATCGCGACCCCAGCGGTCGAGGCCCAGCTCGAGCTTCTTATCGAGCCATGATCGGAGATGAGTGTACCACTTGGACTCGGGCGAGATGTGCGTAAGGCCCTGGTAGCCGATATCTTTGTACAGCCAGATGCTCCATGAGATAGGACTCTTGTCTCCAGAGGGATCGCCCTCAGCGTAAACATCCAACTGATCTTTCAGCACATGGTACCTCGATGCATTTGTTTCCTCAACAGCCTCATCGCCGCGCATCTTTGAGGCATAGACAGGCCCCCACTCGCCGTTCCAAACAGGTACGTTGAGCTCTTTCATGTATTCGATCTTGCGCTCATACTGCTGCTTGAGCTTTTCTCGCTGAGCTTTGGTGCCTGTGTATTTCTCAGAGCTCTTAGGGAAGCCATAGTTGGAATAGTCGTGGATAGAATAGACTGTGTTGGCAAGAGGCGTCTTGGGGAATTGTCTAAAGTCTGCCGCATAGGTGTTGCCATCCAAGAACAAGATGTGGTTTGGGTCAACTGCTCGAATGGCCTTGTCAACTCTGTCGTAGAACTGAACGAGACGGGCGTGAGTTGGATCCGCTGGCTCGTTCAAGGGATTGTATCCTGCCACCCAGGTATTGTTCTTGTAATGTGATGCAATTGCTTGCCAGAGATCAATAATTCGATCCTGGAAGTATGTAAAGTCCCAGAATAGTGCCTTGTGGATGGCGCTATCGCAGTGCCAGTCTTGGTTTTGGCCGCCGGGGACAGCATGCAGGTCCAGAATAGTGTAAATGCCATGGTTGGCGCAGCTATCAACGATTCTGTCCAACAGAGCAAAACCCTCGGGCTTTATCTTGGTAAGATCGGAATCATCAAGAAAGTGCCGATAGTTGAATGGGATTCTGAGGCAATTGAACTTCATGGAAGCGAATAGTTCGGCATCCTTGTCTGTCCAAAAGTATTCATAGAACTTGGACCAGAAGAAATCATATTTCTCTTTGCCCATGACTTTTAGCATCGCCTCCTTGTGCTCCTCTTCGTGGCCGGGGAACCCTGTGATGAAGTTCTCCATGTTGAGATGGCCACCAGAAGCTGCCCCGCGGAGGACGATGGGAGCGCCATTTGGCTTGAGGATTTTGGTCCCCTCGGTGTGCAGAAAGCCGCCCACGGTCATTTTGGAGAGATTTGTGCTTAATGTGAGTAAGGCCAAAATGTCTGCGCAAGATTTGAGAGTTATGAGTATGGAGATGAGAGTCGTGGCATACGAGCAGCATTCTTCAGCTGGTCGCACGTATATATAGAAGTACGTGGGGTTTCCACTGTGACATAACTACATCGCAGCATCAAGATAATCGCCATTTAATTGGCGCTAGATGGATCGTAGGTGTGGAGTGTCTCTCAACTCCATCGACATTCGTGGAGTAAAACGCGGAGAAGCACGCGGAGTGTCGGCAAGCAAAGCCAACATTAACATCAGAATAGCCTGTTATAAACACTTCACATAAGCTCAGAGGCTAAACTGGGAACCGGTTTCCCGGGTTTCTTAATGCTTACTATAGTACCTAGTGGTTGCTATCGACCAGGCTCAGGCATTAGTCTGGAGAGAGCTACTAAAGTGACGTTTGCTAGACTCCCACCCAACGTTCGAGAAATTGAAGATACACTCTATCGACATAATACACATAATATAATGCTACAAAACAAAAGTCTTTCAATTACATAACCCTATTATCTATACCACCTCCTCTCTTGCTAGCTCGCAGTTCGAAGCCCCTTTATCGACGGTTTGCTACCCGCTTATGGTCGTTTCCCACGAGTCATGGCAACCAAGTGGAATGTCGGCAACGCCAAAGCCTCTCTACCACTCCCTTTACATATGCGGAGTGTCGGCATCTATTTCTCTACCTCCAATTCTTCTCTCAACGCCAAGATCTAGTTCAGCCCAGTTCTTACACATGCAGTACCACCTCACCGGCCGAACAACCTATTTTTTTTTCTCCTTCTGGAAACAAGTTTATTTTGCCGCTACAAGGCTCGATGCCCTGCGAGATCGTGCGGGGCCCCAGATTTTGGATCAGCATTTAAACCCCACGATGAGCATGTCTTTGGGAGGGTTGCATCACGATCCTTCGCCTCAATTCGTCTCAGCTTCACACGCAGATCTCCTCTATTTCTTCTATTATACTTGACAAAAATAACTCTCTGATAGTCCTAACATGGCTAAGAGCGAGAGTGAGCAGACAACTGCGGAGAGAGCAGGCCCGGAAGATGCTCTCCAGCAAGTCCTTCCAAAATACGGCCGGCCATGGTGGCAGGTCCGCCATCTCCTTCTTCTGAATGTCTGTCTCATCATCCCTCTACTGGGAAACTCCACCAATGGTTATGACGGCTCTCTACTCAACGGCCTTCAGTCCTTGCCCCAGTGGAGGGACTACTTCAACAGTCCAACCGGCCCTCATTTGGGTGCTCTGTCCAACGCCTATGTCTTCGGAAACATTGCCACTTTCATCGTTGCCTCATGGTTCAGCGACAAATACGGACGATTGTGGGGTATCCGACTTGGCAGTTTTATCGTATGCATCGGAGCTGCCCTTCAAGCTGCGGCTCAGAACTATGCCATGTTCTTCGTTGCTCGATTCATTATTGGTGTCGGAGGCATGCTTGTCATTGTAGCGAGTCCTTGCTTGGTGTCTGAACTGGCATACCCCAGCCACCGAGGCGTTATCACTGCCATCTTTGGCCCGTCTTGGTATGCCGGAGCTACCATTGCAGCTTGGGTCACATACGGAACCAATTACATGGGTGTAACTGATGAATGGGCATGGAGACTACCGTCTTTGCTCCAAGCATTGCTACCACTTGTTCAGCTCTGTGGCTCGTTCTTCATCCCAGAAAGCCCCAGATACCTTGTGGACACGGGTAAGGAAGACAAGGCGAGGGAAATTCTTCTCAAGTACCATGCTGGAAACGACGCCGCCAACATGCCACTGGTAGAACTCGAGATGAGCGAGATCAAAATTGCAATCTCCCACGATAAAAATAGCCAAGAAGTCAGCTGGGGCGCCTTTCTCCGAACAAAGGCTAACCGCCATCGTCTATTTGTTGTCGTCTGGCTCGCCATTACTCAACAACTTTGTGGCAACGGCTTGGTATCGTACTACCTCAACTTGATTCTCAACTCGATCGGAATTACTTCAGCGCGAGAGCAGCTGGTGATCAATGGCGGCCTCATGGTTTACAATCTGGGCACTGCCATCATCAGCGGCTTCATCGTCGGCCGCATCAAGCGCCGGCCAACTTTCATCTTTGGACTCGGCACCATGCTTCTCATCTTTGTCATCTGGACGGTGCTTTCCGCCATCAACGAGCAGCGGAACTTTGAGCAAAAGTCGCTCGGACAGGGAGTGCTGGCCATGATTTTCCTATTCTACGCCACCTACAACGTGTGCATGAACGCCCTTCCGAACTTGTACATCTCGGAGATTATGCCGTACTATCTTCGTACCAAGGGAACGACGACTTTCAGCATGATGAATGCCATGACTAACGTCTACAACGGATTTGTCAACCCGGTCGCTATGGAGGCTATTAGCTGGAGATACTACATCGTGTTTTGTGGTCTTCTTCTTATAGAGCTGATAGGAGTTGCGTTGACGTTTCCTGAAACCCATGGATACACTCTCGAGGAGGCATCGGAGGCGTTTGGAGATGGTGTGCTCGTCCAGGGGGCGGCAGCGAAGGCAGTCGAGGCGGAAAGCCAGCATGTTGATGTCGCATAAGCTCACCTTTACTACCAATGTCTAGATATGAGTGCCATGTGAGCAATGAGGCCATATAGCTAGATGTATCTTATTTCTATTTATTCATTTCAACAAGTCACAAGTGATCAACAGTGTCGTTGTTTTTACACATGAAGAAGAAGGGCAAAAGCATCGAAGGCTCTTGCTGACCATTGTGGCCATCTCAAGCTCAACCCTCGTCACTCCTTCAACATCCCAGACGAAACAAAGGCCATACTCAATCCCCACGCCATACAACTTCTCCAATTCAAATACCGAATCGCTACTCCAAATTGAAGTTGCTACTTGTGGATTGGCTAATAGGACGAATAATGTGCACTCCAGGCTATCACCAGAAGGCATGGCTCAATTCCAACTCATAGTTGCTAACAAATTATTCGAAGCTGCATCCTTCAGCGCTTTACTATACAAGTTCACCAGTAATGTGACGGGCAGCCAATACGACAAACAGGACTAGCTTGTCGCTATTCTTCAAATTATTCTTGCCGCAAGCGCTTTCTTCTGGTCTAGCATACATAACAGCTGATACAGCCTTAGAAAGAGGAGCTACACGCGATCAGTGCTATCAAGCATCTCAAGTACAACAATGCCTTTATCCCACCCCCTGCAAATACGAATTTGGCTCTACCACGCTTCAACACGCCATCAACTTTGCTCAGGTGTTTACAACTATCACAATGGGAACGCTCCAAGAAGCTGTTACTACCTTGGCAAGAGATGGCAATACACTCCAAGTTCGCACCATCGTCGCGATGATTGGCAACGGTGCAGAACCAGCAGGGTACTTCCGACACATGCTTGAAAGGAAGCCATCGGCACAGCCATTTCCCACGACATCTGTCGCGCCATTCTTCCCAAGCGCGCTAGACACCTTCACCATACCCTGCAGTTGTCCTTTCCCAGCGTCCAGCATCAACATCGCCACCTTCAGTCCGTTTAATCTCGTGGGCATCGGTATGATTAAGCATAAAGATCAAACTATTAGCTTGGAGACAGGCCTAAATGGAATCGCGAGCGTGACAAGGTACTTTAACAAAGACAGATGGATGTAGGTTGTATGTGACACACTTAACGGCGCAGCTGGCGCCAATTTCTATGCCCGCGACCAACCTGTAGTGGAACAAGATTATTGTCACGATGGATGCATATTTTCCATATTGCAAGTACTCGATGGATGGGTTGTCGCTGGCTGCTCTTACTACAAAAGATGACTTTTCTTCGGTGGATGAGACGCTGCAGTTTACGCTGGCTGCTCCAGCGGTCTTGCAGGCCGACACGTATGTCAACGTGAATCACAGTCTCGCAACTCTGGAGTGAATAGCTCAGAACATTTTTTTGATCAAAAATACTTCCAATGCTGTGTTCTGAGGGTTCATCAAACATCTAGCACTCAGTGTATTCAATAGCTCATCTCCTCATAGAGACCTCTGATCGCGCAGGAGGCCCAGGTCGCGGTGCTTGGAAATCAAATTCACATCTCACAGCATCAAATACACGCCCTAAACCTGAACAACTACTTACTAACCTCGCTGCCAAATGCATATGCAATGCAACATGTCATCCCAAACCGGCTCGGCTTACAAATGAGCCCTCGACACCCTCTTAGAAATCCAAGTCACCAATAGTATCATGTACGATGATCCCATGAACTACGAAAGAAACAGTCCAGTTCAACTGTCTAGCCCCGCTCGGGATAATCTCCTCGGGGATCCTGATTTATGTCCTCGGAGCTCCCCACCAAGCAAATGCGACGCCGCCACGACTCCACAGTCGCTCCGGTGCCGCTCACCCTCAAAAAACCGGACGTGATTTGATGCTGTGGGGATGCCGAAGAGTCATCCCATCCCCCGTGGGGAAGAAGCTTTTGTCGTTCGTTCGAGTCATACGATCCAAGCCGTACGAGAATGTGGTTCACCGGCAGAAAGGTTGAACGTATCCGGTAGTTAGTTCTCAGAATAGATAGCTCTCTACGCCCTTTGCCTTGTATCGTATGGCTTCACCGCAAGATCACAGTCAACCTACTAGGCCTAGAGTACGAGTATGCATCCAAGGCAATTAGTAAGAAAGGAAAATGCTAAGAAAGAGGGCGTGACACCTTCATATGCCGAAGCCAGGATCAGGATTAATGACATAATGCAGCTGTCGAGTGTTACATCGTACTGCTACTATTGGCATCGAACTCGCGGCTAAATCGGTTTAGGCAGGATAAGCGCCCTCATCGTCGCGCCGGCGCCCTAGCGATGGCATAACATGTATTTACGAGTTTCGCTTGGTGTACGAAGTAGACACGGCCGACATCGCTTCTGTTGCTGGCAGTTTGAGTGCTGTAACTCAACTGAACTGCATGCTGGAAAGGGGTTGCCCATTATAGACATACTGGAAATGGGGAAAACAAAAGATCATCACAGATGGAAAAGAAATTGAGAGCGACGATAGTGTGATTAAATACTAAAGCTATGTTTTTTTGCGGATTCTATATATCGTCATCATGCATCGTTGCATGTGAAAGAAGCCATCGTATGCCGTAAAGTATCCATTCCGTAAACCAACTCCAAAAGAATATAAGAAAAAAGCCAACTATGTGGCTGCTGGATCTGTTGAATTCGCCCGTCGTTTCATCATGTTAAATATATATCCAAAAAAGACAGAGAAAAGAAATAAACCAATCGCCTGATTTTGTCCTTTGCTGTAGGGGTATATGTATATGCTGGCTACTATGCAGCAATATCGAAAACAACCCAGCCGCTTTGCTCTGTACCCAAGCCTGTGTAGGCTGATAATAGACGCGCCCAATAAAATGAATAGAAAGATAATAAAAAGTTAAAAAGAAGAGTAGATTAACAAAAGAAAGTGGTGGGTATCGTCGCTTTCATGATAATTCTTGGCTGCCCCTTCGGCTGTTGGGTGCCGTCGCCCTTGCGGCAACTAGTTCTTCGAGGTCGTCGTACTCGATGGGGAGCTCATCCTGAGCATACTCGGGAGGGCTGGGAGGCACATCCTGGTAAACTGGAGGCGCTTCGTTGTCCCAGCTGACGCTCAGGCCGCCGTTGTCAGTCAAGACGACGGCAAAGTGCATTCGCAGAATGCGGCCGGTGCCAGTCTGGTGGGAGATGTGTGTCTTGCCCTCTTGTGCGTATTCCTTCGAGACAACCAACTCCAGCAGCAGAGAGTGTGTCACTTCTGTTCCGTCTTGAGTCTTTGTGTCGCAAGCGTACTTGAGGGCGTTGGAGTGCGGCTTGAGCTGGTTGACACAGAATTCGAATTCCATGTCGACGATGCCGTCCACACCAGTGTAATCAGATTTCCATCCCTCGGTGAGGTTCTTCTCGCCGATGACGCGGGTTTCGCTTCGGGGCAGGCCCTTGTTGGCAGACTCGGCGAGGCCAGGGTTGTGCTTCTCGCAAGCGGGTGCAACTGTCTTGATGGTCTCCTCCAACTTCCAGGTAAGCTTCTTGAGCTTCCACAGGTCAACCGTCTTGACCCTTTCGTTGTGGGTCATGAGCCCGTCGAGCTTGAGGGTCATCTTGTTGTTGCCTGAGGGGTGAATGACGGAGACGTAGCTGGCGGCGGCCTTAATGTTGGTCGGAGGGAAGACGCGGACGGAGTTGTGTGGGTAGAGAGGCTCGGGGAGAGTCCGCTTGACGTCGATGATGCGCTCAAACTTTGTGGTTGTGATTGAGCTTGTGCCCTCGGGCGTTGTGGGAGCAGTGAGGAATTGCGCCTCGGCGTTCATCACGTAGGAGATGGAGACAACGGGTGTGTCCATTGAGGCGGGGAGATTGCCTGGCAGCAAGATGGAGAAGGGGAACTGGTGCTTGCCCTTGCGCAGAGGAACGGGGTGAGCCAACAGCGTCAGCTTCTCGACCTCGGTTGACTGACTCTGGCACTCGCTGCAGTTGTTCTGGAATGGCCGCTTGTGGGTGACGACCATGTTTAGGCTGGCTGTGAAGCTCTCTACGTCCACCAGATCCTCCTTGATGTCAAGGTAGATCTGTCCCGAGACCAATGCACCGGTGCTCTCCTCAGCGTTGCCGTGGAAGACGACAGGTGGGCTCTCGACGCTCCAGTCGATCACGACCGGAGAATAGGGAATGTGCTGCTGTTGACGCTCCTTGGAGTTGGATCGGCCAAAGTGCAGCGACAGGCGGTGGTGCTTCTTGATGGCTTCGGCGAGGTCAGGCATCTTGACGGCATGGCGATCTTCGCTGTCCGAGGCATGGGGGCTGGTGTTGCGGGATGCGCTGCGAGAGTTGCTCCTCGATGTGTTTCGAGACCGCGAGACGGCCTTGATGTGAGGGATTGTTCCCGTCGAGCTACGCAGGAAGCTGGAGACGAGGTGGGGCATGGTGAAGATGGGAGAAGCTGATGATTGCGGGTGGTTTTGGTGGTGGCTGTGGGTGACGCAAACGTCACTATGAGGAGGAATGGCGGAACAGGCCCTTTTTATGATACCTGTTCCTCTCTCTCCTTCCTTTGAATATTTCTTTTGCTTTGTGTATCCTTTGTTGCTGTCAATCTCCTTTTAACTTCCAAAAGCAACTTCAGCCCTAGCGGTGGTCAAAGTCCGCCGACGAATGATGATGCAAAGACCCCCTCCAGAAATGATGTACACGGGCGCTGTGCCAAGGAGGGGCTGCGTCTGGGGAAAGGATTGGGCTGAGATCTGGTGATGGTTCTCAGCAAAGGGCGCCGATGGTCGGGTGTTAGTTCTGGCAGATGGCTGTTTAGCGGAAGCCACTGGTCAAGTATAAGCACAGAGAGAAATTAAGCCGGTCTGATGATCTTATTCAGCGCCGGGTTTCGTAAGCGTGCTGCAGCTGTTGCTTAAAAATTGAATTTTCGTGCGTTGGATGCTGGATGATGACAATTGGCAGTCCAGTTGATTTTGTCTGATGCGTATTGTTCTTTCTCTTTGGTTTGTCGTTGTGGCTTCAAAGTGCTGACTGTGGTAAGGCCGTCCGTGTAAGTCGGGTAGAGCAAGGTTTCGATAGTAGCTTTCGTGAATACAGTAAGCTGATGGACAAGTTCAAGTTCCAAATCGTAATGCCACTGGCAGATGAAATGCAATGCAAATCCGGTAAACAAATTTCCCAAAAGAGGTAACCCGGCAACATCGTCGAGGGCATCGTCAAGTTATATATCCTGTCCCCTGGTTCGGCATGCGGCGGTTTGGCCAGAGCTATGTGTCATGGCCGCAAGCAAAAATCTTGCTGGACTTTTCCAGGCTCTCGGCCGCCAACCGATGGCCGATGGATCTCCGGTGGGGGCATCGAGACGAGAGAAACGCCTTTCGATTGATTCTGTGGGGCTCCTTGTTCTTCCAATTTTTTTTTTTTTTTTTTTTTTTTTTTTTTTTTTTTTTTTTTTTTTTTTTTTTTTTCTCTCGCCGTTTTTCCCTTTGCCTGTCCGCCGTCTTTCCTTTCTCTCCCCCTTTTCCCGATTAGGCACTTGAGTGGCACGGCGACAAGGCACGTGTGTACATGACTGGTACGCCCATTCCTTAGCCAAGTTGGAAATTGGACGGCTTTACTGCCCATCAGCTGGACGGAGAAGCACCTGCGCCGCACGTTGAAGACAGATCCATTAACAGCCGTGCCAAGTACCGGCCAAGTACTCGGCTCCATCTTGGTTTGCCGCCCTCTCTCAGCTGTTGTCTCGATGCGGTAGTACTTTGCTCTCGTAACTCGTGTTGCCCTGTTTTTTTCTCTGTCTCTGTTGCGCCTGTGCTGTAAATGTTCAACATCAGACAAAACAAAGCGTCGCATTAAACTGGACCCTCATCGGCCTTGTCCGATGATGTCCTTTGAGTACCTGTATGAGCACGAGCATGAATATGAGCAGTCCACTGCACACTCCCGTACCCATCAAGGTACAGACCCAAGACCGTCCGTCAACTTGCTTACCCCGTACGGGCATGTAAACTACAATCACCAATTCATCACGCAAGTCAACTCATCGAATTGTCAATTGCTTTACTAAACAACCGCCCTGACACCGCCGACACCGGCTTGTTGACACGTTCCTTGACAAGACGGAGGGCGCGCATCTGATG